CACCCTCAGATTCCAGATTTTCAAATAGTTGTATCTCGGCCAAATATTGTCCTATCCTAACAAACCATAAATCAATCGAAGGCTTATTTATTCAGATGTTTTTCAGATGTATAAATCTCAATAATAAAAAAATTTTGACCCTTATGACTGGTTTTGTGGTCCAGGGTCACAATTAACTTAAAGGGGTCATATGATGCGATTTAAATTTTTCCTTTCTCTTTGAAGTGTTACAAGCTCTTGGTGCATAAAGAAGATCTGTAAAGTTGCAAAGACTAAAGTCTCAAATCCAAAGAGAGTTTTTTGAACCTTAAACCGCATAAACACATTTCATTACACAAAATACACAAAATAATGTTATTTTTAGCAGCATCATATGACCCCTTTAAGTAGTGATCACGAAAAAAAAAAACTACATAAATAATAATAATCCATGGCCTTACAGGGCTTCTGTAACATACACATTAACTGAGTGCTCAATTTAGTCTGTCTCATGCAGGCAGAAGTCGTATAAGCTGTGATTCCTTCCCTCTCATAGGTCCGACAGGGAATGGCCCCTAATGGAGTCTTAGATGCGGTAGTAGACCACTTGCCTCAGTGTGAAGTGTGTGTTGGGATTGCCCTAAACTTCAGCCTTTAAACACTGTCTGACTGAATCACACCTAAATGCATGAAGATTATAGAAGATTGCAATTAAATCTCATTTCTTCATCACAGCTCTTTCTGTTTTAATTTGTGTTTATTAATTGAAAGCTTTAAAATTTAGGCTTAATAATACACAACCTACAGTACCCTGATGATTTTTCAATTAAACAAAATGTTGATTTGACTGAACAAGAACTGAGCATGAACAGTTCTGTAGTGCACATTATTCAAGAATACTGTCAATATTACAAAGAGGCATTAAAAAAGTGTGCCAGAGCAATTGCTTAGTCTGATTGATTGCTGTTTAATGGATATATTTCTCAATCACTGAGCTTTACTATGGTGTGCATATGTGTTTAGAATACAGTAGACCGCCTATTGAATGATACTAATCTTGCTGAAGTAATTGGCACACACTCCTGGAGAGAACAGTTCATCGAGGCGGTAACAGTCAGTGCAGGTAGAATCGAATCATTTCGGTGTCTATGCGTGTTTCTACATATGTGAAATGATTTGTGACCCTGGACCACAAAACCAGTCTTAAATCGCTTGGGTATATTTTTAGCAATAGCCAAAAAAACATTGTATGGGTCAAAATGATCGATTTCTCTTTTATGCCAAAAATCATTAGGATATTAAATAAAGATCATGTTCCATGAAGATATTTTGTAAATTTCCTACTGTAAATATATAAAAACTTCATTTTTGATTAGTAATATCCATTGCTAAGAACTTCATTTGGACTTTAAAGGTTTAAACTTTAAAGGTGATTTTCTCAGTATTCCAGATGTTCCCTCAGATGTTCAAATAGTTGTATCTCGGCCAAATATTGTCCTATCCTAACAAACCATACATCAATTGAAAGCTTATTTATTCGAATTTTGTGTTTTTGTGGTCCAGGGTCACATTTATGCTGTGTTTGTGCCCATAAAAACTCATAAGAGATTATTTCAGGTGATGGTCATGTTTTATTTATACCTTTCTCTTTTTCTCTCATTCTTTTCAGGAGAAGGTGATGAAGAAGGAGGGGAGCCTCAACGACCATCGTGCTGTGATTATTTCATGCACGCAGTTACAGTGTTCTGGAAGATTCTGTTTGCGTTCGTTCCACCCACAGAATACTGGAATGGCTGGGCCTGCTTTATTGTGTCCATTCTGGTCATTGGGCTGCTAACCGCCATCATTGGAGATTTGGCATCTCATTTCGGCTGCACAGTGGGCCTCCGTGACACAGTCACTGCTGTAGTATTTGTTGCCTTAGGAACCTCCATACCAGGTAAATCTGTAACATATCTTGTGTGTCTGATAATGTGAAACACAGGCAACCAACTATCATCTCCCTTTCCTCTCTTAGATACATTCGCAAGTAAGGTCGCTGCTAAACAGGATCAGTATGCAGACGCTTCGGTTGGAAACGTGACCGGTAGCAATGCGGTTAATGTTTTCCTGGGGATTGGCGTGGCCTGGTCCATTTCAGCTGTTTACTGGGAGGTCAAAGGTCAGGTGTTTCACGTAGAGCCCGGCTCTCTTGCATTCTCTGTCACACTCTTCACCATCTTTGCCTTCATTAACATCGGTGTGCTGATGCTACGGCGGCGGCCATCGGTGGGCGGAGAGCTGGGCGGACCCAAAACGCTGAAGGTTCTGACTTCACTATTCTTCCTCGGTTTGTGGCTTCTCTACATCACATTCTCCAGCCTAGAGGCCTACTGTCACATCACCGGCTTCTAAGGAGAGAGAGAAAGACAAAACAACCAGACTCAAACTTACACTAATGGCATTCACATGAAATGAGCTATGAGAGAAATGCACAGTGCACTGAATATTCCATGGTAATATGTACATAAAGTAGATCACATTCTGTATAAACAAATGTACATGAAATTAAAGAATGAGTGAGATAGAGCAAGATTGTATGACTACACTGCTGTGAGGGATGTCTTTAACTGTTGGTCACCTTTGGTTTCAAAGCACATTAGAGGTATTATGAACTTTTGACATCACCAGACCCTCAGTGGCATGGAGGACTTTTAACACACTGCAAGATGTAGCACTTTTTTGACAGGACTGTGATGTCTTTTTATATGCTGACTCATGACCAGTAATTGATGTTCCTTGAAGAGATGCTAGGCCTCTCTCTGAGAGAAAAGGCACTTATGGCTCAAAAACTCTTTGACAAGTGAAACTGAGCTTCTTTTTCCAGTTTTACTTAAGGATGTCAGACATTATGGGACCTACCATGACAAGTTGATCAAAGAAAGAATGTATGTATGTGATTATCATTATCATAATTCACATTAATATTTTTACTTAAATAGTAATGAGTCTTGTAGGCTGTCACTTCATCAGTTCACTCAAATCTATTATTTCAGCATTTAAAAGTAAAATCAAATGTAAGTAAAAAATGTATACATTGAAGTGTTTGTTCTTATTGTGCTTTGGTATTCTGATTGGAACATGTTGTATTTAGAAATTAAAAATGAAATTACAGTTGCAACTATTTTGGCATAATCAGTACCACATTTCCAAAGGCCATTCCTTGAATTGTTCTGGTTTACTTATAATTTCCTTTACTAGTATTTCTTTTTATGAGCGTTTATCCTCCTATTTTTTACAGTAAACAGCAACAGTATAGACCAATTATCGGTTTGTAAACATTCAGGATGCGCGCGCATCATGGTTGCCGAAAACCCGGGAGAGATAGCCTTTACAGCTAGAGAATTTCACGGATACGGTACAAAATAGTTAGGTTTAAAAAGATTATAAATTATATTGATTAGATGTCATTTTCAAAATGTTCTACGCATATTACAAGAGCTTGTCACCCAGCGATAAGCACTGTTATTCAACGAAATTGACGTTAGAGCGTGCGATAGTCTTACAGATCCGAAACGGGTGACGGTTTTTGTGGGCGGAGCCTATCTGGAGGCAGAAAATGACAGTTTTCAAGCAGCAGTCTATGGAGCCATGGAATAAAAGAATAAAAAAAGGTCAATTTGATTTTATATTTAAAAATTCTGACTTTATTCTCGCAATTCCGAGATTATATCTCACAATTCTAATAAGGAAAAACAACTCGTCATTCTCTCTTTTCCCCTCGGCTCTTCTGGCTTTTTTTCCCCCTCAGATTTGACAAACTCACTATTTTTGAGTTAAGTCGAGTTATAAAGGAGATATATTAAGAGATATAAACTTGTATTTGCGAGAAAAAAAATGTCAGAATCGTGAGATAAAGTAAATAAATGTTATATAAAAATGTTAATAGTAAGGTTTAAATAAGACGTAACTGTGACGTCTATTCTAAATTGGTCTATACACTGTAGAATTTTCGAGGTGCGCAAATGCTTTAGTTCATTTTCCAGAGGGGGATTTAAGAATTATGAATGTGAATTATTAACGTTGTAAAAGTACTACTAATTACACATAATAATGCGGACGTAATAGCAACACTCCGGCGGTTGACAATATAGATGTTTTTACTGTTATTTATGAGTGAGACCAAAAAAATACCTTTTTTATATCAATGAACGAATCTTTTTAGTGAACTGATTCAAAATATGCGAACTACTAGAATGAATGAAAAACCCGCCACTACAAACCAGTAGGAAAACGCGCCTTTAGTTTGAGTTACATCAGCGAGAGCCAATCACGTTCAAGCATTAAAGACCCCGCCCCTTCTTGGAAGTGAGAGAAGTCGGCAGGCCCCGCTCGCGCAGCTGGTGACGGGTGATGCTTCCGGGCCAAGAGCGTGAGGAGCATGAGATAAGATAATAGGTGAGTGCTTTATTTTGATTTACGTGCGTCGGTTTTTAGTCGGATAGAGGTAGTAGCGATGGTCAGGTCTGTATCTGCTTGTATTTATTCGCCGTTTCTCCTGTCGGCCAGGGTTTGGTTGAAGCACCTTTAATCAACCGGAAGAAGAAGACGTCCACGCGCCCTCACACGGAACCGAGGACGTCGAGTCACACAGTAAGTCCGCGTGCAGCCGACGTTGTTGTTTATTGTGTATTATCCAAAGCCCTCTCTCTTCGCATGTGTTTATAAACCTTGTACGAAAGCTCGGGGTTTTACTGGTTGCGCCAGTTGATGGATCTTTGCGCTTCGGTAGTTGTATGGTTTGATTCAATAACGTGCCAAACAAAGAGCGGCCTGCGATTTTGGCGCACTTATTAATGGCGTTAATCTTGTTTATTGGCTAACAATCAACCCACTTGCTACGTTCTCATCCATATCATGCTTATAAGCCCTTGTCCTATTGTCTGGTGTGAATTTGGTTGTTCGAGTCTTGTTGACTTTGCAGTTTGTATTGATAAACATGATTGAACAGTCCATCGTGGCCGTATTTCGGCAGGTGAAGCGACTGGTGTTATAAAGGAACGCGAAACTAAAACAATGCTTGAAGAAATACGTTTACTTTTTATAGCAATGGTCTGCAAGATCTCGTATCTTCAGTTTTGACCTATTTGGAAGCTTGCACGTGATAAGGGAACAACTGACCGCGATTTGCTAAATGTGTTTAACACATGCAGGGTTGTACTAACGTTACATACTCGACCAACGTGCGTTCATTCGCGCTGCTTGATCAGTGATATACACGACACTGTATTTATATTATGAGGAACGCTGCATTACGGCAGGGCTGTTTAACCCTAACAACCAGGGACTTTACAGTAATCTTGGGTACACTGTAACTCCATTGCGTTATATAATGCCTACATTTCACCCAAAAAGAAAAGCTGTCATTTACTCACCCCCATGTTTTTTCCAAACCTGTATGACTTTCTTTTGCAGAACACAAGATATATTTTGAAGAACGTTGCTAACTAGTTTTGGTGACAGTGGAGTTTCATTGTATAGACAATGATTTTTTTCTAAAGATTATCATTTGTTTGTTGTAGACAGTCCTACAGATTTGAATTTGTGTGAGGGTGAGTAAATTGAGTAAAATGACCATTTTCCGTTTTGGTGGATTGTCCCTTTGGCCGGTTGTGAGTTTGATTTTTAGATTTAGAAAATAAGTTTTTATAGCTTTTCCACTAACCTTCAGAAACCCCCAGTGGTCCTTAACCCCCTGGTTTAATGGATTTCTAAGACTTTGTTTTTTTGTGTGTTTTGGAAAATATGGGCATTAATTTGAGTGTTAATGAATTTGTGGAATCAGTTATCTTGTAGTATATATTAGCAGGTTTAAAATTAAGTTTTGCCAATTATTAATTTTTTTTTACTGAAGGTTTCAAATGGGTACCAATTAATTTCTTAACCATTGTCCACACTACAGGTGCAAGATGTCTTACTCATCTCGTAGTTCCTCTCGCGCCGCTGACTGTAAGGTCTATGTCGGTGACCTTGGCAATGGTGCAGCCAAAGGTGAGCTGGAACGAGCCTTCAGTTACTATGGACCATTGCGGAGCGTGTGGGTTGCCCGGAACCCTCCAGGTTTCGCCTTCGTAGAGTATGAGGATACCAGGGATGCAGAGGATGCCGTAAAGGGGATGGATGGAAAGTGAGTCAACTTGAGTTCTACCTGCCTACATTTGCCATGATGCTACTGCAGCACATTTAACCCCCTGACTGCTTCAGGGAGCTCAGACCCGCAGGGGTGAGTGTCGGCGGTTTATCACTGTTCTTTTTCCGCTCGCAAAGGCCCCAACTTATTGGTATTATCCTGGATGCAGATTAATTGTTGTTAGTTTGTTCAGTTGTTTTTCTTAGTTTATCTGATGTTAGCCTGCATCTAGGTAAAGTGTGTAGCTCCTGGAAAAAAATAAAAAAACCAAGGATGTCATGGGGGAATTGTCAACAGCTGGGACACACATATTGAGTGCACCGTTATTTGGCATAGAGAAACAAATAACCTTCTGATCTGTGATATCCTAGGGTGCTTTGTGGATCCCGCGTGAGAGTTGAGATGTCTAATGGTATGTCCAGAAAGTCTCGTTATGGCCGTCCCAGTCGCAGACAATTTGACCCCAACGACCGCTGTTACCAGTGTGGGGAGAGTGGTCATTATGCCTACGACTGTTATCGTTTCAGCAAGCGGCGTAGTCGACGCAGCAGGTACTTTAACCAACTTTTTTATTTTTATTGCATTGGAACCTGACACTGTTTTATTGCTAATCTTTTATTTTGTTTGTTTTAAGGTCAGCATCTCGCTCTCGGTCCAGATCTCGTGGCCGACGCTACCGCTCTCGTAGCCGCAGCAATGAAAGGCAAGTCATCTCACTGCTCCAGCTGTGTTTGGACAGATTTACAGTCTAGATGCATCAATCTGATTTTGTGACTTTTAAAAAAAAAAAAAAAAAATTATAGGAGGTACCGTTCACCTTCATACTCAAAACGCAGAAGCAGGTAAGCTGTGTTATCAGGCCACAGTCCTGTTTTTACCAGTTCTAATTGCAGTATGTCTACTTGCTGCAATCTTTCTGTAGGACCCCTTGCCTTTCTAAATTGTCTGGGCTATTGTTTTTATTTTTTTTTAAACTTCACCTTTGTGTTCTAGGTCAGGCTCTCCGGCCCGCTCTAGATCCAGAACCCCTGTGCGGCGTTCACGTTCACCTGTACGCAGGTCGAAAAGCCCTGTCCGAAGGTCCCGATCCAGATCGCCTGTCCGTAGAGATGGGTACTTGGTTTACTCATGCTAATTTATTTCAGTTTTGCGTGTGTGAAGTAAAATGTATTAGTGTTGTACGTGCTTTCTCAGTTTAAATGGTTTGTTTTTGTATTTGTAGTCGCTCCCGTTCACGATCTGGTTCTAGACAGAGAGATCGTAGTGTGTCCAGATCTCGGTCTCGTTCGGTCAGTCACAAGAAAGACAGGTGAATGAAATGTGCCATCGTGTAAATTTGCAGTTATTTTGTTCTTGTAGAAAATGAGCAGATTCTGACACTTTGTTTTGTTTTGTCTTAGTCATTCCAGGTCTGCCAGCCCAAGGAGAAGTCCAACACCGAATGCTGACTGATCTGAATACTGATGCTTCTCCCCCATTCCCCACCTTTGCCTCAGGGCTGAAATACATTTTATCTCCATGATTTCAATACTGGTTCTACTGTAGCTACAAAGCTATTTATTTTCTTCTCCTTCCCCACGTTAATGAAAGCTCCTTGTAAAAGCATCACTATCATCTCATGATTTTTTTTTTCCCCCTTCCCTTTTACGTATTCCCTCTTTTTTTTTTTTTTTTCAGCGTTGAGCCAGTGTCCTGTGGTCAGTGATTTGTGGGTAAGGTGTTGAATGAGCTATATTGTGATTTAGTCAGTGTATTATATGAGCTGAAGAGTACGTTGTGATTTGTTTACTTGTAGAGGTTTTTTTTTTTTGCTTTGAAAATGGCAATGATCTTTTTAATAAAGTAAAGCTTTACAAACCCAACTGTTTCCGTGCTAAATTTTGACTGACCTGAGTTTTTTTATTTTAAGGGGTAGGGTTATACTAGTTTAAATGGTGGAATTTACAACCAGTTGAAATTTCATATGCTATAATATACTTCCACTATACTAAGAGTTTGTACTGATTTGTAGTTTTCTTATTTTTATATATATATATTTTTTTTTTGCAGAGTTATAAAATGTAATCAACTTTTTGGGAATATAGCCATATTTTCAGTGAAATAATTATATAGTTCATCGTCGCAAACATTATTGTGACGTGGGTATTTGATAAGATTTTGGTCATATCACCCACCCATAATTTTTTACCATTGTTGCTTGTTTTGTATACAGCGTTTAGTCATATATGGTTGGTTTGCTTACTTTTCCCAGGTTTTATGTAAGTATAATTTTTCCTGAGGGCTCAAACATAAAGGTGTTAATTAGTGTTTTGATTTGACTCCACTCTTGAATCAAAACGGCAGAGCATATCAAATTGTCCACCAAAAACCAATTATGTAGAATTACATTATGGGGGAAATCCATTCTATTGTATTCTAGGCACACTGAAACAGGCTAATTAAATTTTATAAGTGGAGGGAAACCAAATATTTTGTATATTCTTTCGTTTGTAACATCAGTTATATCAAAACCATTTTTTAAGAAAACACGAGGAGAAATGTGTGGAGACATTTAAAACCAAACGGATTTTTGAGTTCCTCTCCTTAACACTACCTACATGTTGGCTCAGTCTAGAGAAATATACCATTACATATTCAGGTTTCACTACTATTAGAAACCAGTAGTAAAACTGCCAGCCAAAACGGCATTTGGCGGACCAGACGCATTCGAAAGCTACTACGAAACCGTAAAATAGCGTATAGCTAGACTGCTCAATAGGTGCTGTAACCCTGTTTTTTTGTTTTTGTTTTTTTAACAGTCTATATGTTTGTAATGCTGCGTTCAAGTCCTCCTGGGACGTTCGTACTTACGAGTTGACAAGTAATTACGACGTCAGGTGCGTTCAAGTCAGTTTAGTCGGCACAAGATGGCGGTGTACTTTTTAATAAATTACAAGAAAATACAATAGGGTCTGTTAACTGCTTATAGAAAATGAAGAGCAAATAATTCGCATCAGGTGTGTTTTGCGTTTTTAATATTTTTTTTAGACCAGGATCCCAGTATAACTGATTTTCAGCATCAACAAACGCTAAAATACAGAGATTAAAAAAAGCTGTTAGCTAAATGCAACAAGCAACATGGCAAATCAAAAGATTTTTCACCTATAGGTATAGACGTTGCATCCATCGATTCCGCCGTTTCTCATTGACACGCCCCCAACTCGGAAACTCGGGGCTTAAAGAAAATTTCGAGTTTCCCACTCGTAATAACGACTTTGTGGTGGCGTTCATGTGCGTTCAACTCGTAAATACGATCTATCCGACAAGACTTGAACGCACCATTCCACAAGTTCCATTCCCAAGATTCCTTTTCCTCTCGCGTTCCCCTCCTGACCTGCGGGTTGCCGTAGCTGCAGCAGAAGTGTGTTCCATAGAACATCTCATTTGATTTGAGACAACATGGCTGCTGCGGCAGGCCATTATTACGGCGACGGAGGCAGAGCAACAAAAAGACAGAAAATAGACAGCGACGGAATGGCCACGGTACTTTTATTTGATTCAGTTTATTGCATTCTCCATGCTTGTGGCTCTAGACTAATTTTCCCTCCTGAAACGCGGTTTTTCTTCATTCAATACGTGATGCTATAAAGCTAGCTTGTAGCCGACGCTAGTTCGTCTGTTTAACGTTAGTTTGTGAGAAATAATTATGCTATTGCGGAGAATGATAACTACTAATTATAAGATGAGATATATAATTCACAGCATCTAATAACTTACATCTAACTGGTACCTGTGGCTCGGCTAGCAGTGCTTTACTCAGTGCTCATTCATTGTTCTGGTCAGCTCAGACTATAATAAACCGTTCATACTGTATGTTACAGACTTTTACTCATTTAATTAAACGGAAAATGGAGTAAAGTGCTCGGGATAACTAGAAAGAACGAGAATTGATCAGTTTTCGTGTGAAACTGTTATCTTGGCTTAGACGAGTCTCATCTTCGTATCTTTACTCTGAATCTGATGTTGATTAGGTCCATTTTGCTAATCTGAACCTTTACTCAAGTATACAGAATTTTGCATCGTTTTGGCCAATGTAGTGAAATAAATTAGTAAATATCTTATATATTTGCTTTAAGCATTCACAAGGATTCTGGTTTTACATTATTGTTTGATTTAACCTTTCACTCCTCCCTTTGTATGTTCAGGAGGGTTATGACGACCCGCACAAGACCCTGCCCTCGCTTGTGGTGCATATAAGGGGGCTTATTGACGGCATTACCGAGGCTGACCTGGTGGAGGCGCTACAGGAGTTTGGCACCGTAAGGTAACACACATTGTGGAAAGGAATCGTCTTTGTGCCAAATGGCATCCTCAATCCTTGTGGTGCTCATTTGAGTCCATTCTTTGGTGACAGTGAGTTATACGAGTAAGTTAAAAAGGTGTGTTTGGGGTTAATTTAGAACAGTGGTAACAAAAGTTCCTTTAAACTAAGGGCACTCTACTTTTTTGACTCAAAGTCTCCCTGTTGCCCAACACAATATTCAATATTACCTCCAGTATTTCTGGACAACACTGCTTGTTTTCAAATATATATTTTTTTATTAACCAAGTGTTGGTAATTTAATTCAACATGATTCTTATTGTGATTCTATACGATTCAAGAAGTTGATTCTGATTAGAATTTGTGTTTTTTATAAATAATTTTAATTGTTTTAATTTTTAAAAATGTAAAGAAATAACTAAGTCATCCTTTGGCCTCCTTGGAAGTTGGAAGCTTAAGCCCCCCAGTTGAGAACCACTGTTTGTAACGCAAACTAATTTTATAGTTGATTGTAAAAATATTAAATAAAAGCGCAACAGAAGTAATGTCTTCTCTGGTATTAAAGTGTAAGTTTGTAAATTTTCATAAGTTATCAATTTGCTGTTTATTGGTTTGCATTTTGCACTATTTCTGGAGAATTATTTGAGAAATTCAAAGTTGTTATTGAGAGTCTGTGTATATGCATCTGTTTTTCAGTTATGTTGTGTTAATGCCAAAGAAGCGTCAGGCACTGGTGGAGTTTGAGGACATGAACGGCTCCTGTAACGCAGTGACGTATGCTAACAATAGTCAAATCTACATCGCTGGCCGGCCATCTTACATCAATTACTCTACCAGTCAGAAAATCTCTCGGCCCAGCAACTCTGATGATACACGGAGCGTTAACAGTGTACTGCTCCTTACCATCATGAACCCCATCTATCCCATTACCACGGTAAGTTGTTTTGATAACACCCAGCGTGGTGTAGCTGAGTAGACTCTATTGCATACTAGCTGTCTACTATTGCATTAAAGCTTATTCTCATCCCTCTTTCTGTTTATACAATATAATTTCTTGTCTGTAGGATGTTCTCTACACCATTTGTAATAACTGCGGACCTGTGCAAAGGATTGTGATCTTCAGGAAAAATGGAGTTCAAGCCATGGTCGAATATCCTTGAACAAAATCTTCTCTAATGTAGTTTAATGATTTCTGCACAGTGCATGGGGCTTATCACAAGAACAAAGCTTAAGCCCTGTCAATGTGTGGTTTACACTGCATGTTTACAATCGAAATATTGTTCTCCTTGACTTTTGGTCACATTTGACTCGGTCCAGAGTGCACAGAGAGCCAAAGCATCTCTCAACGGAGCTGACATCTACTCGGGCTGCTGCACCCTTAAAATTGAGTATGCCAAGGTTAGTACCCCAAAATATTACATGTATGATACCTCTTGTGCTGTACAGTGCCCTCTGCAGGCCTGGGGTCAGTTGCATAAACAGTTGTAATGTTAAGACTGTCTTAAAGGGGTCATATGATGCTTTTTTTAAAGATCATTATTTTGTGTATTTGGTGTAACAGAATATGTTGACATGCTTTAATGTTCAAAAAACACATTATTTTTCAAATACTGTACATTATTGTATGTCCTCTATGCCCCGCCTCTCTCAAACGCTTCGTTTTCTACAAAGTCCCTCCTTTGACAAGCGCAGTCTGCTCTGATTGGCCAGCTGACCCAGTGCATTGTGATTGGCCGAACACCGCAAGCACTCGTCGGAAATGTAACGCCCCTTACCATAATCGCGAGCTTCATCTTTCAAAATAAATGTAAAGACAGTAAATAATGTCATTAGTTTTACCATCAGTTCAAGCCCGAAAGGGGAACAGAGTCGCGTGACAGACACAGTGATGAAGCTGGTATGTGTTTGCAGTACACAAGCCACGGTTAAGACAGCTGACGTGCTATGATTTCTGACAGACATCAGAATTTTTTTCAGTTCACTCTCCTGTGATGTGACCCTGTTCCCCTCACACACACACACACAC